ATTCAGTTACTTTGGTCTAAAACACTGGCTCTGGCTCTCGTAACAAATACATTGTATTTAGTATGTCATTTAAAGAACAGTGCTGTGTATTTACAACTTGTTATCATAGCACTAATCAACAGCTAGGCTCTTTAAGTAGGTTGTGGTGCATGAGGCTCCCTTGTTCTAGACCCCATTGTTTTCCCAGTTTTATGGTATATGTACAGCTCTCTCATAGCTTTCAAAACAACAGCAGAGAGAATCACTTGCATGTTTTGTTTCTGAAAACATGAATAAGTCTATGAAAGGGACACTCTAAGCACAAAAACCACTACGCCTTAATGTAGTTGATCTAATGCCCAGACCATGCCTCTGCAGTTTGACAAAAAGTTTTCCCTTTGTTAGAAACAGTAGGGTTTACATTTGTCAGAGTGCCTTTAGTGACTATCAAGCAGAGGCATTTCCTTGTCAAAGAGAAGCATTAGATTAAGTGCTTTTCTATGAGAAGTAGTCAATTAGCCAACTGTGGAGATTGCGGTCATATGCACCGGGTGCTTGCAGCGGCAGAACTGGGGTGGCGTTGGATTAAAGAGTTTAACTACTTTTTTTCCCCCTTTACCAGGGTGCTCAATAATATAAAGAAGAAGAGGAAAACTCTTTCTTCATAAATACGTTTATTTACTCACATATGGTCTACCGCAAACTGTACAGCTTTCAATCAAAGGATAACTGCTGGATTGTATATCCAATAAAGCGGACAACGGGACTACTTATTCCAATAAATAAGCATGTTGCTGCCATCTTGTGATGTGCAGATGTTACCACAGAAGCTGCAGACCTTATTATTCATGTTATTGTAATGCATTGTACCACAGGGTGCATGCAACTCCGGACATTATGGAGCATGTTGCAATGGCCAAGACTTGTACTTGGCCTAGTTTACTGATGGGTGGCAGAGTATATAATGAGTCTGTAATCTCTTATTAATAAAGGTTTTCATGCGATGAGTAGCAGTGTTACCTTTGATGTCCAAGACAAGGTTTGACTTTGAGCGGGCATAGATCCTTCCATCAGGGTTGATATTCCATTGCATGCACGCTCCTGTTTGCTCCAGAGTCAACCCCAGCTTGCTGCCGGCAGTAACTAGACTCCCAGATGTTGCAAGGCTGCAATCCTCAGCGATCTGTGGGCCAAACAAACACTTGTTTTAATGAGGTTTGCCCTGCAGGTTTTACACGTATCAATTAAAATATATATATTTCAAGCAGGTTACATATATTAAAGAGGGAGCATGTTCCAATCAGTTTACCATGAAGTGGGGGTTTCCATTCTCCACATCCTTGGCATCAATATTCCATTGTTAACACTTTTTTTGCCATCTAAGGGGGTGGAGTTATGTTTCAGGTGGCAAGCATGTGGAGTGTGTTCTTACAAACCTGACCTGAGCAAGTACACACCGCACATACATTGCTAGAAACATTATTCCATCCTCAGAGGTCAGTAAGTGACCCACTATATGAATTCATAACAATATACTAAAACAGCAAAATTAACCTTCATAGAATGCCTCTGTTAGCTTAAAGATTTACTCCAAGCACCATGACCATTCTAGTGATTTGAAGTGGTCATGGTGCCTGCAGTCTGTATGTGCAGCATCTTGCTATGAAATACTGCACACACACAAGCTTTAACCCCTCTGCTGCCGGAAGTGTAACTCCAGCACGGTCAGCATTTCATGGCTAATGTTAATTTTTTGCAATGTTCATTCACCTCAGCCCATCCTCCCAGATGATCGTCCCCATCATGCTATGGGGAGTGATGTTAGAGAAGGAGGATCAGGCTGCAGGGAGAACTTGGCCTCTGTGCTGGATCAAGCTGGGTTTTAGTCATTTTATTTTATATGGGGTGGGGGGCCATAATAGGGCAGGTTGCTTTACCAAATACACAGAATTTCTGTTGAAATTGCCCTTTAACAATAGGTTATCAGGTGTATATATCGGCATGCTGCAGACAAGGACACATAAATAAATGTCAAATATACCATATTTGATACTGTAGGACATTATTCAGATAGTACCAATGATGACCAACGGTAACAAAATCCACAGTGCATGTAGACATAGCAACAAATTCATTTAAAGTCTGAATCTTACTTGAATTACAATCATATTTTTTGTTGCTGTCTAACAATATATTGGTAAATAATTTGTATGCACACTCACAAGTACAGTGCATATGATAATTTATATAACATCAAGACAAACAACTAATTATGATTTCTGTCTATGGAAGCATGAATAATTGCTTCCCAGAACAGTTAAGATTAGAATCCTGATCCCCTGATACTGTATCTATCCTATGAAGGATTAAACACTTCCATGAGGCATTAAAAAAAAAAAAACAGCAAAAAAAACCCCAAACACATTTTCTGATGTTTCTATTGCAGTCACTGAACCAAATGCGAACCGATGTTTTGTGGACACTAGATTCAGTATAAGCTACATACTGGTATACACATGTATAAAATAGTAATGTATTCGTTTTAATCAAGAAGAAATAAGGAACAGTTAATTAACTGTTTCTAATAATTTGAACCTAAAGAATTACATGGGAATTATACTGTATTGCCAATAAAAAAATAAAAAAAAAGTCCAGTTTTTAGTCTTAAAAATGTGTGTGAAAAATTACAAGTCTAAACAACATATAGAAAACATAAATTATGTCTATTCCTTTTCTGCTATAAATGAAAAATCCTGCGCAATAATCAAAAACTGTCCTTTATGGAACATCAGCCATTTCCTATTTGCTTTCCATGATTTTCCTCAGTGTGCCTAGCATCTATAAGGACAGGTCCTGTAATATCTAATACAGTGATACTCAATTGAAGGTGGGCTATTTTCTCAAGTTACAAAAGGATAACAGTAGACAATTTCATTAATGAACTGTGAGAGGGTACAGATAAAAAATTTTTGGCTCTGCTTCCTATTTAATTATATAGTACAGGTTAAGGCATATTCTGAAAAACAGCAGAATTAATCTATAAAATAAAAAAAACAAGAACATCAGCATACATTGGACAACTGATGGAGGCAAGCCATATAAAAATATAGCCTGCGACTTATTAAGAAATAAAAAATAAAAAAATAAAAAAATCAACATATACATCATAATACTTCGTATTATCGAGGTAAGTAGTGAATGACAATCTCCATGATTTTTCCAAACACTTTGTGTGGCTAGGCAACAATAAGACAAGATCGAAAAACCAAAAGAAATGAGGCAGGAATTGACTCACTATGCTTGCACAAAGGAATCGTTATGATTTATTCTGAGTGCAATGTTGGAACTTAAAGAATGCTGACTTCTCGATTACAGAAAGAGGTGTGCTGTGTTCTAAAATGTAGTGCTTGAATCATTGGGCACACCAGAAAGCCTGCAGGGTGGGGTAATCATCAGGATTAGATCATTGAACTGTTTATTGACATTTATTGTCAATGCTTACACCTCACCTTAGGAGGAACAGTGTGCTCATAAATGCATAATAAAAGGTTAAAGAACAAATATGCCAAACATCACACACATTCATGTGATTTCCAAACCCAGCCCCCAACCTCCAACAGATGAATGGCAGGTCACATTCTAGTTAATGGTTTATAAGGAGTCGTCTGGAGGCTGGTACAAGCAGTGGGGTTAACTTTTCTGTTGGATTCCACAATGCTGTGTGCTTAATAATAATATGTTTCTACAATATGGATAAAAGAAGACTTTACTAAAATTATTCAAGTAGATTAAAAATAGGAACAGTAGGACATACTAGTACATTTTAATGATTAAATCAACAAATATTTTAAGTAGAATGGTTAGCGGTTAAGCCAAAGGAGTCAGCTTTAATATTTTTTATACATTTGAAAGGTTCCATATTTTGTAAGATGTAATGTTTCAGACTTGCAAAACTAAAACACACCTCTTCACCATCTGCAAGCTACTTTTAACTAAGTAATGTGTATATTAACCAATTGACTGATGGTCATCGTTTAACCAATTGATTGACACCATCTTTTCCACTGCACTTATGTTCTTTCCAGAATAAGACTAGTTTCAGATACATTATTTCATATTTAAATAAAAGTCATTGCTGTTTTATGTAAATTCCCACCAGACTGCATTGGTTCTGGAATTTTTACATTTATTATGTGTGTTTTGTTACTTTAGATCACATTTTCGATTTCCAGTGGACTTTTGCTTTTAAATATGCTCTCTAACTGGCTTAAAGGTACCAAGCCTAACAATATGTCACATGCTTGGCTATCAGTATGCTCGATTTAAATACAGTTTTACAATAAATTTGTTGGCATTCATTTTGTCACCCAATGAGCATTTTCTTTAGAAAATTGGGTAAGGATTGTTTTTTTTTTTTTGCACTAGAGTATTAACTGAATGACAGTTGGTACACTTATTGCACAGGTATAGTGGTTTTTATGTGATAAAACGTTTTATTTAGATTGGGATTATGGTTTGTGTGCTGGATTTTTATATGGTGGCACTACTGTATAATACTGATGTATTTTTAGCCTGGAAAATGGTAGCAATGAATAAGGATTGTATCCTTGGGTATTAGGTAATTGTGGTATTAAATAGACTGGAAAGCTTACACCGGAAGTACATTTTTTTTTTAAATAGCTACTTTTTATAAGATACTGCTGCAGGTCTGTTCGGAGGCCAACTGTGTTTTATTGCCCTTGTATGCACATGGTACAGAGACAATAAAGTTGAATCTGAATTAGCGATATGGCCATGTAAATATAAGATAACATACAAAAAACTGTAAGGCATTACGGTACTTACTGGGCCCTGCCTTTTATAGGACTGTCTTAAAATATATTTGTATTTTAGTCACTGTAGTTTATAATGTAAATTTAACCCATCAGGATTGTTATGAAAGCAAATAAGCAGTGGGAAACTTATGGGAATGGTTTACCCGTCGACTGCTTCAAACTATTGGAAAAGCATAAATACAAGTCTCTTTTGAAATTCATAAAACTTTCAGTCTATCAGCAGATCTCATATTATATATATTTCTTGATAGACTGCAAGTTTTATGAATTTCAAAACAGACATACATATATCTATCAAGAATGAAATATCCAATAATGAGTTCTTACCCGACATCGAAAAGTTCCTTCTTGATAGGCCCAGATTTGATCTTCAGCTCCTGTGTCTTCCATGACCTGTATCCTCAGGAGCTTGATATCATCAAGAGTTCCGTTTGTAGACATGAACATTCCACTGGCCTTGTTCCTGAGTTTGAAGTATAGTCTTTTCTGTAAGAAGAACAAACATGAGGCGATGAGGCGTCAGCAGTTCTATCTCTTAGTATAAACTCTGATTGAATGTAGGAGCATAATGCACAAAAAAACATGTTAAAATATTTGGGTCTTTGTTATTTCAAGACTTATCAGTGAGTTAGTGAGGAATGTTGCTAGACATTACTTGTAACTGTAACTATGTTTTTTTTAATTGCTTAACAAATTCCCTTAACAATCAGTAAAAAATAAAATTAAAAAAAGTGTGGTTTCTACTGCAGTGGTTCCAAACCCAGTAAGGCACGGCAACATTCCAGTTTTTAACAGTATCTAGAACAGAATTAAAGAATGACTAGATCCAGGTTAGTTGACTGTTGATGTGCTTATAGTACTGGGTAAGCAACAACGATTCTAGGTAATTGCAGAGAACCTGTTCTATGACTATCCATAGTTTACCTTACTTAACAGAATTATCTTAGTGTATCAGCCATCTGCTGCTGTGAGTAAACTAAAACTATAATTTATTTTTAATTCACTGGAGGTTAAGACCCAACATCAACTTGCCTAAACAAAGAGGCACAACCAGTCTTGCTTCATCCTTTATTTCTCGGTTTACAAATCAATGGCCAGAACTAAGAGGGAGATTCTCCTAACATAGGGAAAAACTTAAAAGTAAGCATGCACATTACAACTCTACCTTTCGGAAAGCATGGATCAAAGAGTTAAAGTACAAGGTTATTCAGGCTTGGGCTTTGCCAGGGTATCACACTGATTGAAGTTTAAAAAGTTCAGAGATTATTAAGCACCGACGGTTCAAGAAAGAAAACTGTTCAGAAATGCTATTACCTTAAAGTTATACATACCTGTCGAAGGGGCCGTAGAGAACCTATTCTTTCCCACCCACTGAACTGGCTCCATTGTGCTATCTTGCCAGGAAAAATGAAAATTTGGCGACCACGGTAGTTGTTAAATTCATAGAGAACCCATCTGTAAGAAAAGGCATTGGAAAGTGATATAAGATAATTATTAAATGTTTTTATTAGTCTCTATTGAAGATCATGAATTATCTAACTTTCCACAATGTGTTGCTTCTCTATCCAACCAACTTCAATGCATGATATTCCAAGATGCTCACCCAGTCTCCACTCCTTCAAAAAAAAATCATTAAGAAACCCACTTCTTCAATTAAACTGTTAATAGCTCCCGACTGATTCCTCTCTTGCAATGGTCACTAGTCTAATACTATCCTTTCGTTTTGTGTAATTTTACCCCACTCCCTCTAGCATTTAAGCTCATTGAGCAGGGCCCTCAACCCCTCTGTTCCTGTGTGTCTAACTTGTCTGTTTACAACTACATGTCTGTTCGTCCACCCATTGTAAAGCGCTGTGAAATTTGTTGGTGCTATATAAATAATAACATAATAATAATAATAAAACACAAATGGTTGATTCATCAATTATCTTCAAATCAGGTTTCCTATAAACACCAGTGTACATACAATGTACTCATACACCTTAAAGGGACACTATAGTCACCAGAACAACTACAGCTAATTGAATTTGTTCTGGTGAGTAGAATCATTACCTTCAGGCTTTTTGCTGTAAACACGGTCTTTTCAGAGAAAATGCAGAGTTTACATTACAGCCCAGTGATAACTTCACTGGACACTCCTCAGATAGCTGTTAGAGATCCTTCCTGGGTCATGACTGCCTAAAATGCATCCAAACATTCAGTGTCTCCTCCCTCTGCATGCAGACACTGAACTTTCCTCATAGAGATTCATTGATTCAATTCATCTCTATGAGGAGATGCTGATTGGCCAGGGCTGTGTTTGAATCATGCTGGCTCTGCCCCTGATCTGCCTCTTTGTCAGTCTCAGCCAATCCTTAGGGAAGCATTGTGATTGGATCAGGCTACTACTTCTGATGATGTCAGCAAACTGCTCGTTTTTTTTAGGCAAACAGCATGCAGATATACAGCTTCAGGCTTGAATACAGTAAGATGTTGCTATATTTATGGAGGCATGAGGGGCCCAGGGGGGCTAGATGGTGGTTTTTAACACTGTAGGGTCAGGAATACATGTTTGTGTTCCTGACAGAACAGTGATCCTTTAATTGCCCTAATTGTAAAGCCTCAGCAAACAACAGGGTCCCAAGTTTGTTCTCGGCAAATTTAATTTACACCTTTGTTGTGATATAGTCCATAAAATAAAACAATTTGGAAATATGCAAAATTTTACCAGTGCCTGAGACATTATTCCTACCTAATCTAAAATAGTCAAGTAGCAATATGTTCATGTGAAATAAAATAACTCTGTTTTATTAATTTCCTGAAGAATGACAACTTACATGCCCCCGAGGACCTCAAGAGATACCAGATCTGGAGAGTATCCAATGGCCTGTATACTCATTGTTTCTGTCGTAAGTTTGACTTTTCTTCCTTTGTAGTTTTCCTTGCCATAGAGTAGTATGGCAGGTTCTGAAAACTCCTGAACAAATTAACAATAAACAAACATTTATTTCAAATCACTGGGTAATGATTTTATGAACATTATCTTAAACCATTTTATTTTAAATGTGTGATTTATACACACACACACAAAATAAATATTTACTATCCATAAAGTTAGCGGCGTTGGGAACAAGTTAAAATAGAGAATAGATAAAAAATAATTAAATAAGCCATTAACAAGACAAACAATAGCACCTACTACATAACACTAAAGCTTTGTTTATGGTTTGTAGAGAGGAAGCTGTAAGTGGAATATCTTCAGTAGAAAAATGAAATGTGTAGAGGCTTATGGGATACAACTGCACTGAAATTTATGGAATATGCAGAAAGGTTTATTATAAAACCATTTGAGCACAGAATTGGCTGAGAGTTCTTCTGACGTTTAATGGGAGCTTTGTGAATACTCCAAAAACTTGTGTTGTGCAGGAAATGTAGGCATATGGCCCAAACCCAGGGAACAATAGGATTGGCCAAGTGTGTTTCAGTCACAAGAACATCTTTATTATTGTTAATTAATATTTTTTTTTTTTTTTTGGCATCTTATAGTTATCTTGAAAATGCTATTTATTTTTCTCAATAAAAAAATTAATTAAGAGGACAGTCCAGTGATTTAAAGTTCACACTAATCTTCATCGAAAGTATAAATCTATGTTTTCTATTTGTTAGATTCATCTTGTGCCCATTGTATTTTACATGTAAGTTTAACATGTAAACATACTTTGTAATTAAAAAGTAAGCCTTACCTAGCTTGTAAAAGCATCAGTGTCATTATCTTGGAAGGGCTAACCGCCTATTAAACATTATTATAGCTGCTTTTGTGTACGAACATGCACCTTCTTGTTTACAGAACAAATTACTGTACAAATTCGCATTGAAAAGAACACCTCAATATTTTATAAGGTGTGACCCTGATCAAAGCAAGCCTGCCACCTGTCATTCCCCCGAAATTACAATCTAGGTCTCCTTAAGAAAGATAAATCACAAAGCAGCATATACTACTAATTTTTACTCGGGTTACTCTGTACTTATTCCCAATATTATATGGCATATTCTAAGTAATGGCTCAATAATACTATACACAGTGACATAGGTAAGCAGGAATTTTGACATTTAATAAAAAATTAATGCAAAATATGTATTTGCTATCACATTTTTAAACTGACTAATGAACTGCATACATTTCTATGTAACACTACTGTGTCTTCTTTTACTCTATTACCATCGCTATCGTTTTCAAAATGTCCCCCCCTTTGATCAGGTTTATTCCCTATATTCACAGCTCTTTTCATTGTCTTTTTTTCAATTCCTCTCCCACCCTCGTAGTCCACCATGCATTCACGAAAGGTAAACATTAGGTAAGATACTGGATTTATCAATGGTTACCGCCCTTTCATATGAAATAAAGTGAGGCAGTGTCAGCCATGTAGAACAGTTAGAATAGTAATCAGATTCTCATTTTTGTCTAATTCTACTATGTAATAAAAAATAAAAAAAACACACACTCTTGAAAACAATACTTACATATTTTATCATCTGTAGTGATCGAATAACTGTGTCATGTTGACATCCCATAGCACATAAATTGGTGAAGTTTCCCTCTTCCAGAACCCAAAGGTTACCTGAGAAATCTTCCTTGTCATACACAGCCCACCTGCATTAAAACAATTCTATTAATAAACAACGTAACAGAGGAAACCACTACAACCATCTCAAGTCACATCACTGTAAAATTCAAATTTTTGAGTTGAATGACACCTATACACAAAATGTACACATTTGAAGGCACATTGACACGTGTACCCAGCGGGTGTGTTAAATTCATGACACCATAGTTTAACTCCAACAACCTTCCATTAATTCATATCATCATCCTTGAGTAGTGATGTAATGGTGGTTAACTTATGGTAATCTCCGGACAGCTTCCGAGGTCAGGTGACCTACAGATGGAATGTTTAAGTAGATTTATAATATTTAAATACATTACCAGAGTTTGTCAATTTAAGAAGAAAATTTATTTCAGTGTGTGAGTGCTTATGAATTCCAGCTGTTCTGCAGAGTCCAAGTTTCACTCCGTTGTATTTTTAAGAACAATGAGAATGCAAAAATATATTTTGCTTCTTTATAGAGAAAGCAAAATTTATTTTTTGAAAACAAAGGGTACTAGGAATTCGTTTTTCATCTGGTGCTCTTGAAAGTTAAGATAAGGGATCCAGTCCTGGATTGAGAGAGCCTCTGTTTTTATAGAACATGCTAGGAAATCTTTGCTCGATCTCTACACAGATGTGAAATGTAACTCAAT